GCGCCCCGGCTTAACGACAGCCCTCGCCCCCAAGCCCGGCCGCTTGGCCGGCGGGCAGCTGCGGCTGAAGCCGGCGGCGCCGCGCGGCCTGCGGCGCGGGCCGGGCCGGGAGGCAGCGCGGTGGAAGCGCTGCGGGACACGGCAGGCTCCCCGTGAAGGAGGCGCAGCCGGGCCGCGGGCCAGGGCCCTCGGGGGCGTTGGGCACCCGCAGGGCTGCGTTTGCCTGGGGCAGTGGTCTCGGAAAACACACTGCAGTCTCAGTGAATGCCGCTGAGGAGCGGTGGGGACCTGCTGCCAACAAGAGCGCGCTTAGTAATTAATGTAGTGTTTGTTTGTTTGTTTGTTTTCTGTGCCTATGTCGGTTTTTAGTGTGTGTTTTCATTCTCTCTCCCCCGCTTCACTGCAGACCGGTGCTGCACAGTGTTTACACATCTTCTTTCAGCACGGAGCAATTTCAGTGAAGCGTCTTCGCTGATGTCTTCTTCTGAACCACAGCTTTCGCACCAGGCTACCTGGCTGTGCAGGTGCCGTGGGTCAGCACAGAAACAACGTCTCGTACCTGGTGTCACGTACACTGTCACTCTCAAAAGCCTGGCTCCGCCGGCTCGCGTTTGGCATGGCTGTGCTCCTGTGTAACGTGAAAAGCACTCTCCGTTAGTAGCATTTTACACCTACTTTTCATAGCTACGTGTGGCTGCATAATAGCGCTCCGCTGGAGAGTTTGACTCACAAACTTACGCTTCCCTTTCCAAGTAATGATTATATAAAGCCTTGCTCACAAGTGCCGTTTAGGTTCTGGTTTCTCAGACGTACGTAGCGTTAAGCACATCAAAAGCCCTGGGAGTGTATGAGGGGATTTGTCTTGTGCTTAGAAGCTGGCAAGGCTGAAGCTTCTTGTTGCCTTGCTTGTCCCAGAGACACAAAAATAATTTTCTTTTGGGACAAGAGATAAAAATACAGCATTCAGAAGGGCCGAGAGATAAAAATAAAAGGCGTGCAGCATTTGTAGTGCTTTAGTTAGCACTTTGCATGCCCGTTATACCACTGCATGTACATACGCTGTTATTTACAGCACGCTGCAGGAGATACAAACAGAGCGAGTCAAAGCTGGTCAAATAGAAAATAAAAAAGTCTATTTAAACCCCTGCCCGTAGCACCCGTTTCTGAAAAGTACAATAATTAGCATTTATCTCACTGGCCAGTGTTCTAAATTGGATGTTAAAATTTGACTTGAACTAAACATAAAAGGGAAAATTGTCCCCTTTAAAATCTTACAGTTCTTGGTAGTCCATGATCAAATTTCCAGTGACCTTGGCGTGAACAAGCTCGCTCTTGAGCAGGATGGAAATTAGCACAGAGTGAGAGAAGCTAGAGCCAGGTAGGGGTTACACATATAGGCTATTTGAAAAAAATGTAGGTAAGCACCTATATATAGCTTATACAACATAATGTGTGTTATATTTCAGTACGCTGGCTTCCTAATTCACTTCCAAACTCCTTGTTTTGCACTAAGAACAATACAGCCTGATCTTGTTTTCATTGCGATTAATTATATTCACAC